TCCCTGGAGCTGCCTCAGTACCAGGCTGTATACATACATGAATAAAAGATTGCTTACTGCAGCACAGGAGAGGCAGGCCAGTGTTACGAACATCAAAGTGGAACAGTTGTTGCGCTTCGTGACATTTTGTAGAGTTTACCGTTTGAAGGATGCTATTTATTCTGAATGCTATATGCTCTGATTTCAATATGCAGAAGTGAAAATCTCACTTTGCCAGACTTTTTCAGGTCTGGCTCTGACCTGGTGATGGGACGCAGAAAGCCTTCATTTCCACACGTGTCTGCTCCACAGAGCCCAGGGTGGCTCATTTCGGTTTCTGAACTCAGGAGTGCCACTCAAGCAGAAACTGCCTAAGGCTTTAGGAATGAAATGAAATACAAAATGAGATGCTATAATGTTGTTTTATTGTGTTCTTTATATCACAGTGTGAAAAAAGGCTTGTTCAGTAGAACCAAATTAAAAAATAAATAATAATAATAATAAAAGTCATTTATTTTTATTTATGTATTTGTATTATACCTGCTAGCAGCTTTGTAAGGCTGTGTACTGACAGTGTTCAGCAGGTATAATAATGTTGGCAGACATTTGTTTGCGTCTGATGTGTGTCATTAGACTTCTTTTCTCCATTTTTGCTTTATTCTTCTAATGCACTGTATTTTAGGTGAGACAATATTTCTTACTCTTTAATATCTATTTGATACGGAAAGATATATCTACTGTATATATAGCATTTATGTTCAGTGTTGTTTAGCCTGTGGAATAAACAACACTAGATAACAAAAGCAGTGCTGTTTAAGAGCTGTTAGCTGCTCCGCCAGAGATACAATATCACTCAGTGCCTTCATTTTAAATAAAACTGTTTGAGGCCCAAAGAGGTCAGTGTAGCTGATATTTCATATGAAAGCAGGAAGCTCCATGTCTGAAAAAATAAATAGAAATCTGAGAAGTAGAACTTTGTTTTTCTCCCTGCCTCATTAATCATCCTAATCACCACACAACCCCTCTGATTTACCCCGTGATCCGGAAATGGCACTAAACTACCTGTAAACATGGCTGCAGCGGCGATGTGCCCCTCACACACTGACACAACAGCACTAACAGTCTACTATGTGTCTCATGTGAAAGTCTCAGGTTTTCATGATGCTGGTGCTCTGTTGAAAGTTCATGAACATGGATAACTTCAAAATCTTAGCAGCTGTGTGTTTTTTAAGCTAATTCACTGAGTATAATAAATGTCAACCATTTGCTTGCACCACAGGAAAACTCAGGGATCACTAAAGTTAGTATGAGTTATACTCCGGGGAAGCTGTGGGGAGGCACGCTGAAAGCACTGCTGCAAAAGTGGCACAAAGAAAGATTTGAAACTGTGTCTTCCAGTGATTGTGGCAATAATTATATTATTTACAGGAGTTTTGTAATCCCGCTCCTTAAGGGGGAAATAACTGTGTAAATGAAAATAATAATAAAAATAAATAAAAAGAGTCTGAGCAGTCACTTTGGAAACAATACACAAAAACTGAAAACCATCAGAAAACTCCAAAACAAACTTTTTCAGAAGAAAATGTTGTGTTGTTTACTCTGCTGCATTTATTTGATCGCCTGACTTCTTTTTTAAAAAATCATAATTTTTGCTTGTTAGAAACTGTGCCTCATTTTAATTTATCCATCAGTGTGTTTTACACGAGTAAAGCTGAAAGATGGTAATTTAGGTTCGTTTTCATGCAAAGGAAATTCCACCTTGTCAATTGTGATCATTGGATGTCCTTTCAATCATAATATTAGATTTTTTAAAAATATCGTAAATTATAGTTTGTTTGTTTGTGCACTGTGTATCTTCTGTGGAAATGAGCCGCCTGAATTGCTGCATCATCGCTTGATATTACTCAGTCCTCCTACCACTATAAAGTGGGTGGATTCATCATCTGAGCATAGATGCTCATGAATATAGTTTTGCAAACGAAGAGTTTGTGTGTTTTCGACCTCATTAGCAACATCTGAGAATTTTTTAACCCCTCAGTCTGAGTGTGAGAATCCCCGAGGCCACTTCCACAGACACAGTCAGAGGATTGTGATCGCATGCACAAGCATGTTTGTGTGACTCATCATCACAAATCAAAGTTGCGTTTGCGCTGAGCGGGCCTCGGATTCTCAGGCTCAGCTTTTCCGACCCGTGACCCGATCAGCATCGTGCACATGCAGAGGAGTGCTGCGCACGAAGCGACGTCAACTTCACCCGTGACTGAGGAGATGGCCGGTCGGAATAAAGGCTGCTGTGAGGCTGCAGTGACGCGGCGATTGCAGCTGTGTGTAAAGTAAGCTCCTTCACATGTGCGCTTGATTAGGGAGTTCATGTTTTACAGCGAGCCAAACATAGAAATGTAAACCACAAATGACAAATCCAGAAAGCTCAATGCGCTCGTGTTTTTGTCTCTTTTCATGTCAGGAAAAAAAGCAGAGAGAGAGACAGAGGTCATGCAGTTCTTTGGGTTTATTTTAGGTGGATGTATCACTTCGCTCCCCCCACTTACCATATTTCATAGTTGCTGACACTCGGGAGGCGCAATCGACATGTATGACTGAAACTCATTTCCCATGAAGCATTTATGACCCCAAAGCACGAAGCTCTGATTTACTACTTAACCCTTAAGACCTGAATGCAGCATCTCTGCCGAGAAGGGAATCTTTTTACCTGTGCTGGTTTTCATGGTTTATTAATAAAGAACCAGAGATTTATTTTACCCTAAAATTCGACTTAATAAGTGAATCATTAACAAAATAATATTGTTTTTCCAAGATGATGTTATGGCTTTTTTGTTAAGTGCATTTATGTGTGTGCTGTTTCACACACTCAAAAGATGTTAAAATGATAAAAAAAAAAAAAAAACATCATCAGCAAATGAATCTAAAATGATCAATAAATGTGTTTCAAACCTTGGAGGGCCACTTACCGTGCCAGATCTCTTCCTGAGCTTCCAGCTGCAGCTGCTGGCTTTCATCAGCCAGTAGAGTTTGTCCAGAGTATAAATGAGCACTTCATTACTACATGAAGTACAAACTGGTAAATGTCACTGAACACATATATTAGTGTTTTTCTTTAACATCACTCACTATCTGTATGAGTTACATCTGCCTTCAAACGCACTGAGCAAGTTCTGAAACATAAGAATGCAGGAGAGGGCGGCTCCTCTGTGTACCCTGCAGTACCTGCCTAACACGCTCTGCCTCCCACCCAACATGTGCGGTCTTTGTTCGGTACCGAACACGTTTGATCCCGACGCTGCGTTCCACTGATTTGTTAACAGTGATCAAAGATCTAAAGCAGGCCTCGTCCTCGCGTCTTTGATCATAAATTCATCAATTCAAGCTCTTTACAGCACGTTCCCATATCAGCCCTGATGTGGGACAAGATTAAACTCTCTGTTACACTGCTTACTACCATCTTCTGTCTTCATGGAAAATATTACATTTATTTGGCACCATCGACTCTTCACTCAGCTTTATTTCTTTTAATGAAAAATTTAAAAAGACTTCTTTTTAGTTCCTACTGAAATTCTGAATTCCTACTGCGAAATCCTGCAGTGCAATTTCAGAGAGTAAGCAACAATAGTGTTGCTTACAAAGAAAACAATTTCATTGGAAATTCTAGGAGCTGGGATGTGATTATGTCTGCAGAAAAATAACTAAATAAGCTCTGTGTGTAATTTTAGCATTAAGTTCTCGTGAAACTCGTGAAATTAATACACGAACTCTTAAAATAGACATTTGACACACTGGATACTAAACGATGCACTTATGTAACAAAAAAAAGGCTTTACTAACATTCTTTCACGTTTCTATTGTGTGTTTAACTCAAAGCACGTTTGATCAGTCATCATATGTTCATCAGACCTGGAATCTATTAAACATTTGCGCGTCTTAACTCGGCTCTGAATGCTTGGTTTTCCTTAAAGTGCTGAAACTTTAAAACCAAAGTCGGCACGAGTGGAAAAAAGACTAACGTTCACACACTTCCTTCATGTTAATGAGTCCTGATTTAATCTTGGTGCCAGTGTTTAACTCCCAGGATCAGGGAGGAGATGCAGAAACACTTAGAGAGTGCTGGCGTGTGTAACAAAAGCCATAGAATATCTGACAACAGCTTTATAACAAAATTAGTCATGGCTAAGCAGAAAGCATGTAATCCAGTTAGAACAGCTTTTGCCACGAGCTCTTTTATTTTGAAAATGCACTTCACAAATTAAATCACTGCGCTGTCATCAAGTATCTGTCAGTAATGCGAGCTCCTCATCAGATACACCTTTAGAGCTGGTCCGTGCTCCTCGCCGCGCTCAGCCGTACCTCTGCAGGCCCGGAGCGCTTCGGAAAGACGAGTTCAGGTGGAACGTTTCTGCTCGGAGTTACGGCTGCAGGATGATGGGAGCCGATGTGACTCGCAGCCAACGGTGGCCCGGGCCGAGCTCCGTGCTTTGTTCCCAGATCGAGGGGTTAATGGCTTTCCGTACTGGGCGGTGAGGGAGGAGAGGCGCAGCTTTTTTCAGGCATTCTCTGTCGGAAAATTAGGATGCAGCCTCTGTTGTCATAGCCAGGGAGCTGTCTGCCATTTTCCCAGCAGCCCTTGGGCCTGTGACAGGGAGATGGATGATATCTGCAGCCTGGCCGCACTGCTCCCCAAACACACACACACAGTTTGTCTCTGTTTCACACACACACAAACACCTATGCATGCACACACACACACTCTCTTTCTTGCACTTTTTTCCTTCCTTATTCTCATATTGTTGGCTTCTCTGACACACACGTACAGAGTGCGACTGTTTGTGTAGTACGCCCCTCTATTTGCTGCCTTTGGCAACAAAACCAATATCCTACATATCACGGGGAATCAAAATCGCACAAGTGAAAACAATGAAACTGTTTTGAGGGAAACTGCAGGATTCCTCCGCTGTTTGCTTACATGGAGTAAAAATATTATATTTCGAAATAACCGAACACACGCAGCATAATCAACAGAGGTGTTTATTAAAATCAGCAGAAAGAGCAGACGCTCCAACATCTACATTTAATGCTCGTGAATTCATGAATTGTTCAAACTGTGTACAGAGAAGTGCGGGATATTTCATTAACGAGGAAAATTGCGTGGATGTGCTTTGCAAACGATGACTTAACTTGCACGGCTCAGCTCACAGCAGTAGACGCTTTAATTAAAGAAGCTGGATTTGGATTGCAGCAGTGTATACAAGTCCATGCCCCATCCCACCACCTTCGTCTTCTCCTTTCCTCCACGCCGTTCCGTTCTCATTGTCCTTACCTGCTATCCCACTCTCCACCGTGCTGCTGATGTTCCTGCAGTTGGGATGGAATCCAGTGGCCATGTCACCTGAGCGACAGCCGGTGCATACTAATGAGGAGCCGAGGGGGCGCGGGGCTCGAGTCTGCTCTTCTCAAACTGGCAGGATTAAAAAAAAAAAGACAGGGGAAAAAAAAAGTCTCCTTCACCACTTCACTTTAAATCCCCCCCTTCCCCCTTTTCTCCACACCTTTCTTCCTCCTCTTCCCTCTCATCACTTTGGAATAACAGAGAGAATGGGAGCTGTAAGAGGCAGACGAGGGTAGAAAAACAAGGAGAGGAGAAGGGACAAACAAGGCGCTGCAAGCAGAGGACAGAAGTGAGGGAAATGGTGACATGGGAGAGGGACGGGTGGAGAGGAAAGGAGAATGAGAGCCGGTAGGGAGCAGGGAGTAAAGGGAAACATCCATCACTGTTTTAAGTGACTGCAGTGGGACGGAGCTGAGTAAAAGGTCGCCTGGTCTCTTCCTGAGCAGAGTGGGCACCTGGGCAGAGCTGAGCGCCTTCCAAATGACTCCGGGCTAATTATCTCGCGCAGGCCGTCTGTTACGGCGGTCTGACACTTTTACTGACTCACTCGTCTACTGCAAGCAAAACAAGGCAGTCACACAACTAAACTCTCATCTGCTGCTGTCTGCTGGCATAATGGATCAGACTGAATAAGACTAGAAAAGTAAGGATTTTGTTGATGGTGTTGCAGATGCAAGTGGTATCTGTCTTACCTTAAAGCATGGAGAATGGCAGACAATTGCCGGGGCTCCTAGACGAGGAGAGATAATGATAGCAATTTAGCATAAATGTAGGAACACAGAAATTCCACCAACCTTCTTTTACACAAGAGAATCTGTGAAACGTTAAGCCTTTTGTACTGAAAGATACAAATCCATCCATGCAAACTCTGAAGAAACACAGTTTTATTATCTAAGGATCCACCTGCTCAGGGGATCAGTGGATACACTTGAGGACACACGAGGAATTCCGAGTCATGGCCTGTTTCAGCATGAACAGAAAGCACGCTGAACATGTGTCTGCTGGAGTTACAGGCGTAGGCTTAACTGAATCTTTAGCTACAAAAGCAACGATGTGGCTACAGAAGCAGGAGTTCCAGTAAGTGTAAACTCAAACTGGACATCAGTGCCAAAGTTACCACAGCCCAAATGTCTGGCAGCCAAGGGGTTAAAAACATTTAGCCTGCGGTGACAATGCCGGCTAGCTATAGGTCACATTCAAGTCCCAGCCACTGGACAGCCAGCCGGCAAGACAGAGCGTAATTATCCCAGCCAGTTACAGTTCAATAACTCCATCAAGCCGCTAGCCAGATACCAGGTTTCCCTGGCAACGCCTCCGAAGTGAATCGCAGATCAGAGAGAGAGAGAGAGAGAATGGCGAGAAAACACGGGACCCGAGCAGGGAGCAGGGCCAGGAGACACCCTCGAATACTGTGGACCTGCGCACAGCACAAACACTCGCAACCAACCAGGTCTGCGAGCATTCCAGTTGGCTAAGCCGAGACCTCTGCTCTGCCAGGCCGTCAGTCTGCTCCCTCGGAGCTTTGTTGTTTGCTTTTTAATCATCGGCCCCACTTTTCCACAATCCTGCTCCGTGCCCACGGGCCCGCCGCGAAAATCCTCGAGTCTCAGCACAGATCGCTTGTCCTTTCAACAGACAGCCGCACCTCCCACAGCACTTACTGTAATCTGTAAAAGTTAATGGAGTTTATCTCCCGTCGCCCTGAGAATAATAAAGAAACTTTTGTGCTTTCCATGCATGAGGATAATTACATTACAAGTGGCACTATGATTTATACTCCTTGATTGAATTAAAAACAAAATTGAATAGGCTGTGTACAAAAATGTGTGTATTTCTGAGTTTAATGCACTTCTACGTGTGTGCGTTTAGGTGACTGTCTGGCCTCCTGCCGCAGTGTCTGGAAACTCAGACACTCCCCCCCTCCATTCTGTACTGCCCCACTATCGGGCATACCTGATACCCCCCACCCCCAAACACACACACCTACACACTGACCACCACCACCTGCGCCTCCTCCCCACCCTGCTGCGATAAGAGATCCTCCAACAGGAAAGCCTGACAATCGAAAACAACCAAAAATCAAAAACAAGCCATCTAATTCACAAAATCCACCTGATTTCCATGTCGCTCCAGCCCAAATCCTAACGTGCCGAATAAATGTTAATCTGGCCTTATTGCTTTTAAAGCTGAGCGACGCGGCGGCGGAGTGTGTTACATGACCACCTCTGAACAATGGAGCGTAATCTCTCACACACACTTGGGCCATCAGCTGGAGTCTTTAGTTTATCTCCACCTATTCAAGGTCTGGATCAATGTTTCCTGCAGGAGCTTGAAGACTTGGCGAGAACAGAAACCTCATACCGACAGCTGTTTGTTTAACACGAGTGCAGATAAAAGCGCATCGCAACATATTAATATACGAGATCTGCTGATCCGTGCAGCAATTTCAATTATTTCGCTTTAATCAGTCCAAACATAATATTTAACATCCTGTGTCTAAACCGGCACCAGGAAAAGTCTTTTGATTGGCTCGGCATAAACACGGTGCATAAACGTTTTGTTTTTTTTAAAACAGAAACAGAAAAGAAAAGCTAATATTGACCCTCGCTGTTAGATAGTGCAACCTTGACAGACACTTTCAGATCTACTATAACTGCAACCTGATTAAGAGTTCATTAAAAAAAGTTTTAACAATTTGAATCAGCTCTTATTTTAAATTAACCCATTTTTTAAAGTCACACTTTATACACTTCAATAATAAGTAATAACAAAACTGACACTGACAAAATAAAAGACTTTTAATGAGGAACATATTAATCCCAAAGTGTCAATGTTTTCCCTCAGCACAATGCCTACAGGCTTGGATCTGTTCACTTTCAATAAAATCACGACTTTTACAGCGTTAAAGCTTTAGCAGCATTTTCCTGAACGACACTTCCTGCCTTCGCTGCTACGTCCGATGCAGTGTGTGATGTGTGATGGCAGAATCGAGATCAATTTAGCGGTAGCTCATTGAGAACTAGTTTGACTTTGAACAAAGTTTGTATTCCCCATTGAGCGCAGTTACAAACCAGCTGGGAGCTGATTTTTACGGGGTGATATTTATTGGATCCTTGGTGGATTGCTCTGAGCGTGCTGCTTTGTTACTGTTGGAGGGGGGTGGGGGGGTGGTTGTTTCATCAGTGGGCTCGGGTGCTGCCAGACTTTGCTGCGTGTCAGACAGACCCTAATAAAACTGTCTGGCTGTTTTGTGGGCACCAGCTCCGCTCTGCCTGTGCTGCGTCTGACTGCTCAGCACTTGTCGCACTGTGCCTGGCTGTTTGGTATTCATGGGGCATGGCGCTCCTTCAGCTGTTGCTGGGGGCTCTGTGGCATAGGCACAGACTATTAGTTGGCATCGGCATTGTTCGCTATGAAACCAAATAGGGAGACGAGAAAAAAAAAACATAATTAGGGAGAGAGAAAGACTGGAGACTGGGAGAGAGTTGGAGAGGAGGGCATTAGAGAGAAAATCAATTGTTTTGAACTGTATTCCTAATACGAGTAATTTAGCAGAAATTAGGTTTTCAGAAAAGCATGCCGTCTTGGGAAAAACTGAAAGTTTAAAAACCAGGTCAAGCTGTAATTGTAAATGAATTCACACCTTTCTCTGGCACAAAAGGAAAAGAACCGATTTTTTTTTTTTTTTATGCAGACCTAATTTATTGTAATTGCACTTCTATAGTCATGTTTATAAGAGACGGGTCCAGTGTTTTCATTTTCTATTCAGCATTCAATCTTGTCCTTTTCTCTTTAAGAGCCTGTCTTAATGAATTACGATGTCTGTCTGCGCTGAGCTACGCCTCCCGTTTAAATATTGATTGAGATCATTAACCAATTTGGTCGTTTCATCTCACCACAATCGCAGATTTCAACAGAAATATTCAGATGAAGAGAGCAACTCGGTTTCTGTTGACCCGATTCCACATTTTCAAAGCGTGGCCATAGGTTTTTATTTCACATACTGCATGGTATCTTTCTTTATTTCCCCTGATTTGAACAATCGGGACCTTTCAAAATCAATTAAATATAGAAAGATATAAAGTCATTAGAGTATTTTTTGTTTATGTATCTGGTTTATGTGCATACTTCTAACTAAAAAAAAAAAAAAAAGTAGAAGTGAATTATAATTAGAAGAATTATTTTGAGGCTAATGTAGAAAATTTATATTCTAACAGTAAAATATTTGAAGACTTTCTGACATCTGGCTGAGAAATGTATCAATTGATGAAGCAGATAAGTGAAATTATCAACTATGAAAAATGTAAAGAAAAAAATGTTTTTGAACTTGTGTGTTTTAGCTCTCCAGTGCTCACAGCAGCAGCAGATGTGGCATTAGTCCTTTTGCTCCTATAGCGTCTAGACTTATCAATTTCAGAGTGACTGCTCTGGTAATGGAGGATCAGATATATTGGCTGTGTGGAGGTGGTGACAGGGGTTAATCAACATGAGCCTGGGGTGTGGTGGTTTGGACTGGTTGGTGTCCTGTCATTTCTAATCAGATCATGTGTTACTAGAATTGTATTCAAACACAGATGTTGACACAAAGAGAGATTACGGTGCCGGTTGACAGCCCAGTGCAGAATCGATGGGTATTTTTCGCTTTAATGGCGGCGGTACTGGCGCCATTACGAAAGGCGTCCTTCATGATTTTGGGGGGAAAAACAAACAAAAAAATTTCAAACAAGCGCAGCCCTGCAGATGCAGTCGCATCAGTGCTGCAGTTTTCCTTAACGGGTTCATATACGATGTCACGGAGGAGCCAACAGAACATAAACCCTTCACATATGTGCTTTTTTTTTTACTGCGCTAAGCTATTTCCTTTCTGTGTGTTAGCCATTCTCTGCACCGTCCCATCCATACATGCATTTTTAAAAGAAAATCAGCTGCTGATTCTTTCCGATTCCATGTGAAACATTCGGCAGAAAGTCGATTGTGCCGTCCGCCCGCGTCCCAAGAGCCTAACCCGTGATTTTTCATCAAGAGAGCTCACAAGTTAGGGTCTCAGGGAGCAGGTGAAGTACGACAGAGTCTACAGAGGAGCCGCAGTCAGCTGCAGGGCACTGACACCTTTCTTTCTCTCTTACTCACTCACACACAAATGCACACACACACTCACACACACACACTGTCTCTTCGTCAACCAGTGCCACTTAAACGTACCAAATTTCTATCAAAAGGCACCGAAAGCTACAAAGTGTCTATAGTTTAAATATAGTTGAAACTATAGGCACAGGCTGCAATTAAAAAACAAAGTAGCTCTGCACAGATATATGCTCCAGCGTTCCTCCGTTCTTCCACTGCGGACAACTTTTTTTTTCTCGACGGCTTGGTTTGATTCCTGTGCACACAAAGACCTGCAAAGGTAGACAGATTTTCAGGCATATGTTTAAATACACTAAAAAACAACAAAGCAGCAGACAGCAGCAGTGGCAGCAGTAGGGTGCAGAGATGACAAAGAAAGACAAAGCAGGGATTTCGCCGGAGATGGCCAGACCTAAATGATCTTCGTGGCAGTGCCCAGACAGAAGCAGAAGCAGAGGCTCAGACAAACAGACAAGCCTGCACTGCCTGCTCTGTGCTAACTAGCCTTTGTGCTGAGGAAGGAAAAGCCCCCTAGCCAAGCAGCTGGGCTCGCCTTTGTCCTAAAGAGCATCAGCTGATCATCAGTCTAAATTTCTCGCTTCCAGG